ATGGACCAATGCATGGAGACTCCAGATGAGGCTAAATTTTTGCTTACGAGTAAGTAAATAATGTTTTGTAAGCAACCTAACTTTTTGATATCTAATTATTAAGATGTTATTGTCGTCTCAGTGTCGTATTGCGACGATGAAAGCCATTTTGGAAGTATTATACTTCGCTTTGCTTTGGTAGCAGACGACACGGTTGCAGCGGGCGTCTATTGCGGCAAAAACAAGTGCATCGCTATGGCAGTAGAGGCCTCCGCATTGTGCGTTTTTTTCTGTGAAGAACCGAGTTTAGTTGCAAGGGGTGAAAATGCCGTTAAGTCCAACCGTGTCATGCAAATCAGTTACGACGACGATCTTAAGTGCTTTACCGGCGTAGTGCAGGCCAGCATGAAAAACAGATCGTACGCCGTCGAGGTAAGTCGTTTATTATTATTATTATTAAGGTTGTCAGGTTATTAACGAATCGCATGTCTATCGCAATTTCGCACTAGTTTGCTTTTTTTTTTTGTATACATCAAAGTTTGTGGATGTGATCTTTTGTTGAAGATCTCCACCGAACCCGCGATGCGAGTACAACCTGTAAAATGCATCGTAATTTTAATAACTGTAGACTAGAGGGCCCCTTTTTAGTGTTGTTAATTTCATTGTAGAAGGCCGATTTTTTAATTGTGCGCAATTAAAAAGACCCCTCTTGTAATCATTGATTTACGTTGAAACCGCGAAAATATATAGTTCAATGTAAAATTCATTGTAGTTATAAGAACTTTAGACAACTTAGAAGACCCCTCTTAATTGTTTTCATCTATCGAATTGAGAAAATAACATAAAAATACATTTTAAAAAATTAATTGGGATATAGCTATATGTCGCTGTCAAGAGTGGCTTCAAAGAAGCATGCTCGTGAAGCTGAGTAAGATTTGCAAACAGGAAATTCTAATGACAGGTACATAGAACTGAACTAGGGGATTTTATAAAAAAAATATTTTTCTTCAGGTTGAAATGACGAACCCCAAGACTGTGGCCAGGGCCACCTGCAACTGCCCTCGAGGTTCCCTTCGATGCCATCACATGGCAGCTCTCCTCCTCTTTGCTCACAAAAATATTTCCTGCACAGATCGAGCTTGCACATGGACCATGAAGACGACTTCAAAGGACAGACAGGTTGGACCAGTCGAGACTCTGATTCCGAGTCCATCTACTTCCACTTCACTGGATCGGCCCGTTAGTGAGGAGGACAAAGACTGGATTAGCAGTCGCCTGGATGCTCTTGGGGCCACAGTTGGCTACACATGGCTGTTGTCCAGAGAGCCAGACATGCCCATTCATGTCACTATTGAGGACCTAATATTTAGTGGTGAATACACCCAGGCAGCCGACCGAACCGCCTATCTGGTTGAGAAAGCCGCAAAGTCACGTGAAGAGATCCAGCAGCTGGCAGAGTCTACAACTGGACAACGCACAAATCCGCTGTGGCAAGTGGAGAGAAAGCTACGCCTGACCGCGAGTAACTTTGGAAAAGTCCTCAAGGCGTGTGAGAACGACAGCTTTCCTCCATCACTCTTTCGTCACCTACTTGGCGAATACTCACTGGAAGGTGTAAAAGCTGTCCAATGGGGCATCATCCACGAACCAGATGCTATCAAGGCATTTAGCGAAGCCACCAACCTGACGCCAACGCCAACAGGGCTCTGGCTGCACGAGTCGGGCCTGTGAGGTGCATCACCAGATGGTCTTGTTGGAGACGAGGCTGTTCTTGAAGTAAAATGCCCATGGAAATTTCTTGAGGGGTCGCTGCTATGCCACTTGAAGGGCGCCAAGGACTACAGCCTACGTTATGATGGCAGCAGCATGCTTGTGAACAAAGGCCATGACCACTACCACCAACTCCAAGCTCAGATGTATTTTGCGAAGCGAACTAAGGGGTACCTCACGATCTGGAACCCAAAAGGCAGTATCACCGTTGGAATTAGGAAGGATGCAGAGTGGGCAGCTAATCTCGACATTCTACTGCACTTTTATCATGACACTTTTATTCCACACTTATTCACGTACTAGCAATATGTAGATCATGATTAAAGTAATCAAGATTCTTGTCTCACGGTTACTAGTCATGATAGCTGACCAGCTTGCGTGTACTTTCATCAGTGTTGGGAAGTACTTTAAGTACATTGTACTTAAAAGTACTTTTTCAAGTAGGTTTAGGTAACTTGTACTTTACTTGAAGTACATTTTCTGAGCATGTAGTACTTTACTCAAAGTACATTTTATTTATAGTACTTTACTTCAAGTACTGGCCAGTGTACTTACTACTTTACTTAAAGTACATTGTATTTATAGTACTTTACTTCAAGTACATTGCGGCCAGTGTACTTACTACTTTACTTGAAGTACATCACGTCTCATTTACTTTGTACTTTACTTGAAATACTTTTTAGGTGTACTTTACCCAACACTGACTTTCATGCTCATCTTACGTATGTCACTGAACTCGAACACAAAGGCATTTACAGGTGCTGCTCTTCATCATCACACATTTGGTCATTTGTTTACTACTTCTCATGTTAGGAGCATCTTTTTGCCACGAATTGATACAAAACATGTTTACTAGTATTGCTACAGAGGGGAACTATGCACATGCTAGTGTATTTTTAGCTCCACATTCTCAACTCAGGCAGTCTAAACATGATATTGCGTTTTCTCGCATTATTCTCGCATTTAACCAAAAATATTAAAGCCATTGTTCATTTGTTTATGTCATGCTCTGTACAGTTTGTTGTCTATAATTATTCATGCAAAATAAAAGAAACTGAAAATGATCCAGTTCAATCTAACGAATCCTGTCTTTTCTACACGAGAGACATGGCTGCATGCATTTCGCACTACTACACATCAAGAGACATCATTCAATGAGTGAAGACGAAGGAAGACATGACCAGCCCAGCTGTTAATCATTACTGCAGCCACATATCTTTAGTTTTTGCGTCTGAAGCATATGACTTCAGTGTTTTTTTTATACTAGCTGTGTCTTTCAAACAGTTACATCTCTGACCTGTGAAGCTTCCATTGTGAACTATTTAGTGTTCCTCAATAATCTCCCTCTGTATTTTATGCTTTGTTTCTTTTTTTCTACAGTGCTCTCTCCATCAGTGAGCTGTATGCACTGTTAAATAGGTAGGGACTGGGGCAAGCAGTACTCACTGGCACATATTTATAGGAATTCATTTGGAAATATTTATTGACATATACCTCATAGATACAGGGGCTTCCAGTTCCACACTTAAATTCTCAAACATCTTTTAAAATAACAGAAACCCCCAAGCAACCTTCGCTGAGAACAGAGAATTCAGCATTATTATAATTAAGAGACTTCCAAATCTTGTTAACCACTATGTAAGCTAGTGAGGAAGCTTATAATCAAAGGCTTAAATGCATGGCTCAGTCATGTCTAAACTGCCTATACACCTTTCTTAGGGTAAAGACAGCCAAGAAACTTTTTTTTGGTTAAAAAATCCTTATGCATTCAGTATTTGAGTAAGGAAATTAGGGGAAAGTATGGATGGCAACTAAAATTATACCAAGTTATCTGTGTTTCATTTATTGTAGAACATCCATGGCCTCTCGACTATTGTGTTTGAAATATAGTTTAATAATCAAAAGTTCATCCAAGAAAAGAAGTGCACATAACAACATGCAATGCAACATGCCATGCGAGTTCGGTTGGTGTCCTGAATTACTTTCCTTGTTTCTTAATAACGCAAACCTCTAAAAAGAAACAGCTGCCTTTAGTAGGAATACAAGGGTGACTTCCACTTGTGATGACACACACATTTTTCACCAGTACGAGAATTGAACACATAACACAGGGGCCAAACTGGTGAAATGCTGCTGCACCCACAATATATTTACAAGCTGGGTTGCTAAAAAGGCATTTTTCGACATATAGAACAATAGGTGCATGAAAAACGTAAGCTAAGGTGAGGTTCCTGTGCGTTTGGCCTAGAACAGTCTAAACTGGTTGTAATTCAGACCTTGATGATGAACAACATTTTGGTACGTTGTAAAAAGAGTGGGCACTATGCAGATCCAAGGTTGAATCACCGGCAGAAAGAAAAACCAGCCAAACCTGGCAAATAAGTATACAAATGTCTGCTTCAACCAGATTACTTGTAATGAGTTTATAGTGGATGTGCACGCTTTACCTGGGAGTAGCTTACCAGTTAGGGGTGCAAAAATCTGCATAATTTTCTAATAAGGGGTCAAATATCGCCCTATTCGATTCAGCGTCTGAAGCATCTGAATCAAATAAATGTTTTCTAAAGTTTCAAATATTTTTCTAATAATTTTAGAAAGATTCAGTACCACTCTAAATGATTCATGCCACAAATTTTTCTTCACAGGCCTTTGCCACACACCTATACAGGATGATCGCGAGCAGTACCGGTCAATATTCGTATGGGGTCATTCTACCTGTCTTCTACTGCGCATACTGTTAACTGCACACTTTTTCATGAAATTAATCTTGCATGCTTTGAATTATAAATCTTCAACTACTTCTATCCCAATGTGGCTTGTGGAAAGACGTGTAATTACAAGTTGTATAATTTTTTTCTTGCAATTGTTTCTGCTATCTGAGATGTGAGCTCACATTCCGCATCTTGACCTTGTTCGTTTCTTCTGTTTTGGGTATATACTTTGTATTGACTGACTCCGAGTGGCCTCTTGATGTGATTTATATGCTTCTTTTGCACTTTACATTCTGCCAAAATCCTGCTGTGGCCAGAAAACTCGTACAAACTGTTATGGTTTCTGCCTCTATCTAATCACACCTTTTAATTCTAGTAATTTGTATATAGCATTTTGTTCTTTTAATGCTTTCTATAAAAACATAGTAATTTGTAGTCTGCACCCAACTCTTCGGTAACTAATCGAAAATTATTCGATTCGCGCTCGATTTGATTTGGAAAATCATTATTCACACCCCTTTTACAAAAGCTACTTCCAGGCTAGTTCTTCGGCCTGTAAAACTGTTCGGCTTCCTTCAGAAGTGGATTTTGGAAATTTGTTAGAGCAGCACAGACTTCCCAGACTTTTGAGGCGATGGGAAAAAATGTAACTGGAATGTATTCCAGTATCGTGTAGCCCTTAATGCGACCGATCGCCCTCTCAACGTGCACACGGGCCCTGGCAATTGATTTCGTCAGCAGGACCTGTTGTGGTGTGAATTGTGGCGTTGAGAGGAACGGTGGTATGTTAAGGCTCACTCCAGGAGGGAGGAGGTCTCTGATCAGGAAGCCCTTGTCTGCGAGCACAAGGTCCCCTGGCACCAGTTGTTTTAGCACGCCACAGTCCTTCACGATATCTTTGTCCGTGTTGGATCCTGGGTAGAGTTTGCTGACATACGTCACAACCCCATTTGGCGCCACACCAACCAGGCCTTTCAGAGTAGTGCTGCGCTTGTAGGGGCTGTACAAGATGTTCTGGAGTTTCATCTCCTGTTGCATTGTAGAAAAAAATGAAAACAAAGTTATTGAGGATTTTTGAAAGACAAATGAGCAGATTAGCTCAGACTGTCCTGAAACACAATAGCACTCAAATTATATCTCTTGAAGTGGCACGAGTGGGTCATGTATACTTAACACCCTCCGCCACAAAGTGGGTAAGTAATTATACATTTTAAGGTAGATTATCTTACATTTATAAAATATAAAATTTCACTCAGTGCTCTTCGGAAAACCTGGGCTAAGAGGAAACACATAGGTTTGAGAACTTATATACCAGCTTCTTAAAGGGTAACTGCAAGGAAAAAAAAGTTTTTTTTAATAGCCTAATTGGGACAAGCATGTCAAAAAACAATTTTTCCGCGAGAAAAAAAAATTTTTACAGCAATATTTATTGCGTGAGACTCATTTTAGTTTGCGGCTATTTCGTCCGTTTTAAATCGCGCGCCACGAAGTTGTGATTATGTGACGTCAATCCCAACAGGTTCTCATTGGCTAAGAGTTTGATTGACAGCTTTGGTCTTGGTTGTTAAACCTTTGTTGTAGGCTGCAATTTCCATTTGAGCGGTATATTTTTACGTTTAAAGAATAACCCGTGTAATGAGAGTCATCATTTTTTGCAAAAGGTTTACAGGACGGGCACTTCCGTTTGAATTCATACCATAACAAACAAAAGCTCCGCCATTCTTTTCGTGGCCGCCGAAGCAGCCGACGTCTGCTCCCGGCTGTCGCGCGTAGTTCGTTCGTTTCGTCTAAGTGAGTATTTCGTGTTGACCCAGGTGCTTGAGTAAGACATCCTGAAGTGAAGTGGTGTGTGTTTAGCAGCTGTCGCAAGTTTTAGTGATAGGAATCGACGCGGGTTTATTGTTATAGCGCAGTTTGTTACTTCCGTTTTCCTGGGTCAACCTAGCTTCCTTAGCGTGTTTTCTTTTTTTTTTTTTTTTTTGTTGCTTGCGCGTGCAAATGCCGACTCTTTTGAGATGTCAGTTCCTGCAAACCGGCTCCGTTGCTCTGTGAAGTGTTGCCGGATTAGTGATCGCGACAAGGAGTCTTCCAGCAGCCATGTCGCCCCGAAAGATGACAAGCTGAATGCTATTTGCAGTGTTGCCAGATGGAGAAAAAAAAAAGTCAGCAGATTGATCCCCAGAAAGTCAGTAGATTTGCACAAAAATCAGTAGATTCCACGAAATATGTGTTTGCCATGTTTTGTTATCTCCATTAATACACACTTCGAAGAAATAGTATAGAGTAACAAATAACATGGTAATAAGCACAAATAAAAATGAAAGACCAGTTCTCGAGTAACTTTATATAAAGGACAAATTAAAATGGCTCCATAAATGTTTTTGTTTTAGTCATTATTGACTGTTTCGAGGATTATTCTTTGAAATCGAGACTGAGGGCACTTTTGGGATCACAGATGAAGGTGACAATGCGACGTTCACCTGTTGCTATTATTGAAACGAAACCGAAACAAGACGCTCCGGCAAGTGCGCGCGAACATGTCCAATAGAAGTCCTCTGCATGCTGCCATCTTTCCTTACTGGGCTGTGGAAGGTTTTTGAAGCAACGCTGTTGGGCCGGAGCACTGTTGAGGCTACGCGTCGTCTGCTACGGGCTTATTTCTTTTTCGCCTGACCCTAAGTTTGCGTTCAAACGTGGAGAAACTTCATTCGTTAGCTTTTTAAGCCACCTAAGAATAGGATTATATCATTTTCTTGCCACAACCTGCCAAATAAAAAAAAAATAACTCAAATTTGGATGTCGATCCCATGCATTCCGCCGAACGAATGCATGAAAATTGCGGCTCTCTCCGCTCAACTCGAAGCTATTCTTGTAGATTATATAGGAGCAGCCGAGAGTTCAGGCCATGCGCAAACACCTCTCGCTCTGTGCCGCGGGCTGATTGGCTCACTCGGGAGAGGGACGTTACGGCGAGATCATAAGCTAGCCAAACTCTCTCAATATATGGCTCTGGCCCGGATGTCACCGTCGAACCTGCCCAACCTGACGAACCTGCTCTGGGTGAATAGATAGATGAATATACGGCTACGTCACTCGAATAGGACGGGCTTCTGGGCCATCTAGCCAGAGCTTCGTTTTTAATTCTGGGACATTATGAGTTTCCTTTGATGGGCGACACTGGGAACTGAAGGGGCCATATAATAAATTTTTAATATGTTTACTAAAAAAAAGTCAGTAGATTTTCTTGTTTTTCAGTGAATCAGTAAACCCGGAACGAAATCAGTAGATCTACTGATAAATCAGTAGACCTGGCAACACTGGCTATTTGGCTGGAGGCAATCGGACGCTCGCGCAGCGACAAACATGTCCAGGTATGTTCGCGTCACTTCGCTCCGCAGGCCTTCGAGATTCGCACCCCGCTCACTGAACGTCCACGACTGAGACGTGGGGCGGTCCCGACGCTATTCCTACCGAGTGCAACAGCAGCAAGTGCAGCATCATCGGTAAGTCAAACTTCTAGGGATAATTGCTTACTACATACGCTAAGGTTTCTGGTGGCGCATTGTCTCGTTTTAGAACTGTTCTATTTTATCCGAAAATTGTTGTAACGCTGGTAAGCGAGTTCCAGCTCAGAAGTTAATATTTTGCATCCAGCAATTACAAACATCCTAAATCACTGTGGCCAGTGATTAGCACCTACGGGTACGGGCTACTTGCCTTCAGTGTTGTTTACCCACGCCACCAAGAATTGAATGAAGAAATATCAAAATTTAGAACGCATTCTCTTCTGTGCAATCCAACCAGCTGATAACCGGACCAACAAGGCTGGGGCCAGCACCTGTGCCTAACCATGACAGCCAAGTTGGAAGCCCCTCTGCAGTGAGTTTTCTGCTGCCGCTATTTTGGTCCCCAAAAATTTAGAACGCATTCTCTTCTGTGCAATCCAACCAGCTGGTAACCGGACCAACAAGGCTGGGGTCAGCACCTGTGCCTAACCGTGACAGCCAAGTTGGGAGCTCCTCTGCAGTGAGTTTTCTGCTGCCGCTATTTTGGTCCCCAAAAATTTAGAACGCATTCTGTTCTGTGCAATCCAACCAGCTGATAACCGGACCAACAAGGCCAGCACCTGTGCCTAACCGTGACAGCCAAGTTGGAAGCCCCTCTGCAGTGAGTTTTCTGCTGCCTGCTATTTTGGTCCCCAAAAATTTCGAACGCATTCTCTCCTGTACAATCCAACCAGCTGACAACCGGACCAACAAGGCAAGCACCTGTTCCTAACCATGACAGCCAAGTTGGAAGCCCCTCTGCAGTGAGTTTTCTGCTGCCGCTATTTTGGTCCCCAGTGTGCATGTACATTAGGTGTAAGCTGCACATTTCACTATAATTTCCTCTGCACTTAGCAACTGACAGAACCAAGAAAAGACCAAGCGGCTGCACCTGTGAATGACTGTCAGTCAAGAAGCACATTCAAGTGCTTGAAACCATGGCATTTATTTGTAGGCTGTCGGATGCTCTCCTGTTCAGCTGACTATGTGTACAGTTGCTACTGCATGCAAGAGATTTAGACCATACTTAGTACTTCTTGCAGTCTGTGTTGTAGGCTCACTGCTGCAGGTGCTCTGCTCCTCGTGCAACTGTTGGCACACAAACAGAGGCGACAGATGCAGACACTGCAGATTCTGTCATACCCGTGTGTGAGTATAACTGAATGCTTAAAGTACGGTGTTTTAGGAATACATCGCAATCTCGGCAGCATTTCATGCCAACTTCTTACTGAGCTTAAGTTATGTGTTCTATCTCCAGCTGCACAGGTCAACCCTGGGTGCAATGCGGCTGCCCCCCCACCACAACCAGGCAGGAAGTCCTCAGGAGCACTTCCGAGTCCAGTGCAACCTGCCACAGCACTGCAAGCTCGGCTACCTTCACCCATCCCCAGCACGACCTCCAGCCTGCGAGCCCCAGACCAGCTCAGCAGTGACGTTCAGGACAGCCATCGCAGGTCCACGCCTATACCACCTGATGACGACCACAGCGCGTGGCGGGTAAGTCCCAGTGAACAGCTGGATAGGCCTTGGATTGCAGGCAAAGATGGGGAGGTGGAGGATGCGTCAGATGACCCCTCAGACAGTGACATGGGCACCAACGGAAAGGGCGACATGAGCACCGACATGGAGGAGTCTGACATCCATTTCGAAGCAGAGAGCAGCACTCACCCAGGTGAGGACCTGCACATGCTTCAAAGACAATGAGATGGTTACACCAGAGGGGACCATCCCACCGGACATTCGTTTTTGGTGCCCCCACACCACAACCAGGCGGAAAGTCCCCAGGAGCGCTTCCCAGTCAAGTGCAACTTGCCACAACACTGCAAGCTCGGCTACCTTCGCCAATCCCCAGCATGACCTCCAGCCTGCGAGCCCCGGACCAGCTCAGCAGTGATCTTCACGAAAGCCGTCGCAGGTGCACGCCCATACCACCTGAGGGTAACCACGGCGCAGGACAGGTAAGCCCCAGTGAACAGCTGGATAGGCCTTGGATTGCAGACGATGGTGAGCTGGAGGACACCACGGACGACTCCTCAGACAGTGACATGGGATCCGACGGAGAGAGCGACACGAGCACCGACATGGAGGAGTCGGACATTCGTTTCGAAGCCGAGTGCGGCACTGACCCAGGTGAGGAGCTGCACATGCCTCAAAGAGAATGAGATGGTTCCACCAGAGCGAAACAGTCACACCGGATATTTCTTTTGGTGTGACGGTCTGAGACGAAAGCTTGGCCCTCACTTAACATTCAAAGATGTCTGTCAGAGGGATGCCAACTCGGAAGTGTGTCCATACTATGCTATGCAAACTCATGACCGTTTCAAACTTCCTTACATTGTAGACCAAGATATGGACGAGTCTGCTGGTCCTGGTGAACCCGACACCACCTACGTGCTTTCTGCAGACGAAAGCTTCATGAGGTAGCACTTTTAGGGAAGTTCAAGTGTGTGTTACAGTTGAATTTTTATTTTCAGTGACCGTGAACAGGTGCCACCCCAGAAGGAGCGCAAATTTATTGTATTTGCGGGTTGCCTCCTGGAGCTCTTCAAAGTGTCGCACCTGCCTTGCCATTTGCCGCAACAACATCGTAGTCCAGGGCACTCAAGTGAAGATAACAAGCACCTGTGCACAGAACCACGTGGAGCGGTGGTGGAGCCAACCTCAGGTGAGTGGCAAAGCAGCAGGCAATATCTTGATTTGTGCGGGAATTCTGTTTTCAGGAGCCCCTGTTGCGACTACCCTGCGGTTGCTCAAGTCCATCAACGTCGCAACAGTCTCGGAGCGCACCTTCCACTACTACCAGCAGGCTTACCTGCTGCCCGCTGTGAAGCAGGTTAGTTAGTATAGGAAGGGGTTTAAAAATAAAAAAAAAATGGCATAGCATAACTAACTTACAAGACATAATTGCTTGCCAGGTGTACAAGCGGCACAACTCTGAGCTTCTAGAAGGACTCCAAGGAAAGACCATCGACCTAGCTGGAGATGGGCGCTGCGACTCGCCGGGGTTTAGTGCAAAATATTGCACTTACAGCTTCCACGAGGCGAGCACCAAAAAAGTCATTCACATCGAGCAGGTGCAAGTCGGTGAGGTAAGATTTACTAACCAAAACAAAAGGCCTACTCTGCATCACACACCCCTTTGTTTAGAATAATTAGAAATCATCCTTATTGTCTCTTTAAGTGTGATATTTCTAAGAACCTTACAATCAGACTGCAGTACGGTGACTGTTGTACTAATGAATGCATACACATTGTGATCAGTCAGATGAGGTGCCCTCCAGCAACGCCATGGAAAAGGTGGCCTTCGTCCGTGGCTTCACCAAGCTCAAGAAGGAAGACTTCACCATTGGCTCTTTCATCTCGGGTACGTGAAACTTTCAACATAAGCTACTCACCTAACTGTTTTTTTCTGGCTCTCTGTAAGGTTAACCAGCTATCTGTTATTTGGTGTTCATTACAATACAAGCCCTTATATGCAGACCGTCACCCAGGCGTTGAGCACCACATGAGAACCGAAGAAGGGGGCACAAAGCACTACTTCGACACATGGCACATTGACTAAGGTTGGTTTCCCAATATTTCATTTTATTTACTGATAGGCAGTGACTAATTCGACAATCCGTGGTCAAAATAACATTATAAATTACTTTTATGTGTATGACGGTGATTCCAAAGGGCGTGCACCCGCCAAAATAGTTTCTTTATTATTGTGACCTCCTTCGTAGAAGTATTGTTGTTCTCACTGGATGTAATGGAATAAAATGAGATAACCATTTCAAGGGCTTTGATGCAACAAAATTGATGCGTTTTCCAACACAAAAGGTCATTTATACGACCTGTACGCCAACGGCATTGTCGAACACTTTGCTTACAGACAGCGAAACGGAACCTTTGAACTGTGGTTCGAATCAAGACTGGGCATCAGTATAGAGATAATCAAACGTTGCTTTTCATAGATTATTTCACAGCAATTGTGAGTCACTAGCGTGAATAGTTGCTCCTTGGTGCTGTTATCGCCGTGGGAATAAGGACGAGACCAAACATTGTACGCGTGAACCACTACCCAGTCTGTTGCACAGGACACCAGTCAAGAAACACCTTGCTTACATGCAGAATAAGACGATACTCAAATTAAACTTTGTTTCTTAAATTTACGAGAGAACAACAGTTCAAAATCCATGCACCACCCGTCACCCGTCGAACTCTGGAGCACAAACCATACACATTCGAATCTTGAGCACATACCACACACGTCGAACAGAGAATGATTTTTTTTCAGGTAGAACTTGCGAAGCACCGTGCCTTGCAAAGAGCGTAAAAGCTGACATGATACCTGAAGCTGTCAAAATATTAATTGAAAGCTGTTTGCATGTCTTCGGGAAATAATATCGTAGACTTAGTTTGTTCACAGACATTGAAATAGTCACGGCCATACCTGACTACCCGGCAAATTTCTGTATGGCAGTGGACACTTCTGACGTATAGCTAACAATTGTACACTTTTCCAGGCTTGAAGAAGAAGCTCCAAGCAGCAAGCCGAAAGAGCGAGTCGAGGGAACTGCAGGTGTGGGTGCAGCCAATCACGAACCACCTGTACTACTGTGCAGCGCTGGGTGATGGCAACGGCCCACTCCTAGTAAGTATGTGGCTCAGCTTACTGAACCACGTGGTGGACAAGCACGATGGCCACGATGGACCGTTCAGCGAGTGCCTGCACCAGCCACTTTCTGACCGTGCATGGTTGACTGAGGGTAAGTTCATTTCTCGGTTCCTTGTCCAGGACACCCCTCCTGCGATTCTGATGTAGGAAAAATAAAAATACTTCTGAATGGCGTCCATCATAGCTGTGTGCTTATTCCAGGAACCCCAGCGTACAACAAGCTCCGGAGCATTGTTTCAAGCCCGCGGCTCCTCAAGGACATCAGGCATCTGTCCCCCGGGTCCCACACATCCTCCGTGGAAGCGTTTAACAGCGTGCTGATTGGGTTCGCCTCCAAGTCTCGGGCATTTACGCCAGAAGGAATGGAAGCGAGGTAAACAACTCTTCTAATTGAATGACCATTCCTGGCATGGTGGCCTGCAGCCGATTCTGAAAACAATATTTAATAAAAAAAAATCCCTAATGTTCTTTTCGTGGAATTAGCATGATAGACATGTGCAGTACAAGGTCACTCAATGGCAGTTGAGAGCGCCCGTGAAACTAGGATAATACGGAGTCTATACTTTCTTCCTTCAAGTGTATGTATACATTTCGGTCTCCACATTGGAACCAAGTTCTTTTGTATAAGCACCAGCCCATATCTTGTCTGTTTTCACTGCAGAACCCTGGTTGCTGTACTGCACTACAATGAAAACGTTGGGCGGGAGCAGGCCACAACCCGGGAAGGAGTACGGCGCTTCATGGTCGTCACGTCCAGAGCACGGAAGGGCCATTCCACAGCACGGCCAATCCCAAGCGACGCAACGTTTGGTATGTTATTGCTCCTTCGTTTGGGGACAAAACAGTGACACAAGATTCTGTCTTTCAGAGTACCGTGATGAGCTCATGGATGAGGTCATGACCTGCCTGGAAAAGTGGCCGACCCTGAGGGAAGCCCTCGAGGCGAATGCGTCGCAGCATCTGCCACCGATGTGTGCAAAATACCCGAGGCCCCCCAAAAGTGACCTGATTGCGGCCAGACGATCCCGCTTCAGCTTTCATGCCGGATACGTTAACACAAGTACCGAATGTTTCTGATAACAAGACAGCCTCAAGAGTAATAAATATGTCAATAGCCTAGCTACCTCCTGATCCAAGGGATGATAGATTTTACAATAGCCTTCAACTGCATTATTTTTATGTTTTTGTTGATAATTGGCAATACAAGCATTTTTAGCTGTTGCTAATATTTAAATTTTCTCTGCAGATCGTCTCAGGACCAGTCCTGAAGCACCTTTGGGCGTGAGGTAGGTAACGGGTAATGCGTAGTGAAGCGATCATTCTCCTCCTGCGAGTTTCAGGTGTGCCCTCCGTGCTGCAACATTACCCTGAGGCATAGAGAAATGTGTCCTCTGCGGGTACATTTTTTTTTGCTGCGATTTATTTAACTGAACTGCATTGCTGTTTCATTGTTCCTTTCTTTGCAGTGCAGGTAAGTGCCTTTGTGCTGCTTGTCTGTGTGGTGTTTTTGTATTTCAGAAGCACACGTAGGTGCTCTAGTCACTCTTCTCCACGTGACCGAGTCTCTGCTCGGGCATGAGGTAGGCAACGTGTAGGGAAATGATTTTTTCTTTCCTGAAAGTTCCAGGTGTTCCCTCCGTGTCTAAACATTACCCCGAGGCATAAAGGAAATGTGCCTTGTGCGTCCCTCAATTTTTTGCTGGTTTGTCTAACTATACTGTGTTGCTTTCTTAGCAGTGTAGGTAAGTGCTTGTCTGCTGCTTTTGTGCGTGGCGTTTTTATATTTCAGAAGCAGCGGTGGGTGCTCACGTCGCTCTTTTCTGCGCGGCCATGTCTGCACCTCGGGCATGAGGTAGGTAATGCGTAGTGAAGCAATCATTTTCCTCCTGCAAGTTTCAGGTGTGCCCTCCGTGCTGCAACATTACCCTGAGGCATAGAGAAATGTGTCCTCTGCGGGTACATTTTTTTGCTGCGATCTATTTAACTGAACTGCATTGCTGTTTCATTGTTCCTTTCTTTGCAGTGCAGGTAAGTGCCTTTGTGGTGTTTTTGTATTTCAGAAGCACACGTAGGTGCTCTAGTCACTCTTCTCCACGTGACCGAGTCTCTGCTCGGGCATGAGGTAGGCAACGTGTAGGGAAATGATTTTTTCTTTCCTGAAAGTTCCAGGTGTGCCCTCCGTGCCGAAACATTACCCCGAGGCATAAAGGAAATGTGTCCTGTGCGGGCTCAATTTTAATTTTTTTTCTTGCGATTTGTCGAAATATATTGCATTTAACAGTTCTATCTTATTGTTACTTTTGCAGTGTGGGTAACTTCCCGTCTGGTTTGTTCTTTTTTCAGAATGCTTCAAGTGCCAATTTCCTTCATTGCTTCCCTTCCCTTCTTCCCCCCCCCCCCCCCCCATAAACTGGTGTGCCGTTGATGAATGGCAAGTGTAATACAAACCACATGCCACCATATTCTGAGGCTTTTTATAACGTACATCCCTCCTCCCTCACTGCATGTGTAAATATCAATAAAAGTTTACTCCACTGACTTTTTTTCCCAGAACTTCTTTATTTGCATACAACATTGCACACCAAGTCAACCTCTTGAATATCATAAGAGATGTGTCATGTTACTGGGAAATAAGGAAAAAACCGAATACCACAATTCGCAAACACAACATGCAGTGCAATGCAAGACGTTTCATGTTACTGGGAAACGCAGAAAAAAACCTACAACATAACATAAATGAGTATGAAACTAAGTTAACAAATAGCATCAAGACACTAGCTGTGTAGTAATCACCCTTAAAATCTAAAGCTTGGGAACTACTTTTTTAACAAAAATAATTTCAGGACCAGAACTGTCGTTCGTACACTTCTTACACCTCACCGTTCTAATGTGACCCTTCACATATTCTGAGCGCCTCTTCGGTCACTTACAATTATGTGCGATCCTTTCTACTGTCGAGCAGCGGCCGTTGGAATTGGGTGAAAAAATGTAAAGAGATATTTCGAAAGAAAAAAGAGGTGAAGTTTGTTTGACCGCTCAGGAGGTCGCCTCGAATGCTGGTAGCCGCTGTATCGCAGATCACGCCGACTGTTCTGGTGGCATCATAAAACCAGTCGTGCTCCTGATTGCCTACCGAATAAGGGCAATGGAGCTGAACGACATGGGGCTCATGGGACAGAGGAGCACCCATTAACTGTTCTCGTAACTTAAGGGATGAAGTTGTGTGCTCATAAATCCGACGGCTCACAGAGCTTCAAAGCCCCGGTATTCATCAGATGGATACATGTTTTGAATAGCCTGTACAACACAAGCTGGCAAGACCATCCAGTGCCCTCTGCCAAGGCGGCGCCAGATCCACCAGACAAACTGCCGGTACGCCACATACCGGTACTTCCTGTTGAAAGACCAGAATGATGACTTAGGTGACACATGAGAATACAAGAAAAACTCGGGGAAGAGACTGCTCTGAAGAGCAGAAATGTTGTGAATCTAAAAAAAAAAAAAGAAACAATGGACTATATGCAATCAAATCAGCCCACAGTAAAATTAACTTATCACCTCAGATAGTAACAAGATGCACATAATGTGAACAAGTATCGCTCCTCTTGCCGATTGTCTATGCACCAAACAAATAGGCCCCCATCGACAGCAAGGTCATAATTACAATCACAGCAAAAGTCAGTCATGCCCCAGCATCTGCTTACTAAGTCAGGCCAAATAATGTAGTAAAAATACATCAACGTTTCTGGTCTACAGCATGCAACACGACGTGGTGTTAGCCTTACTTATGGGTGCTCCTCTGTCCGATGAGCTCCATGTCATTTAGCTCCATCGCCCTCATCCGGTAGGCGATCTGGAGCACGACTGGATTCAGGATGCCACCGAAAAAGTCGGAGTGATCGGTGATGCAGCGGTTACCAGCCTTGGAGGCGACCTTCGGAACCTCCAGGCAGCAGACGCACTCGCGGGCTGTCGGCATTAGCTGGCAGCGGCCGCAGAGGCACCTGGTTGCACGTAATATCGCAAGAGTCAATAGCAGCAGTAGACTAACTTTTTTTCTTTCAGTCTTGACAAATCGAGGAAGTTGGGTACCACCCGAGCCATTCAGTGGCCAATTCGTCGAAGCATGCGACGTCTCGCGCGAGAAGGTAGCAGCGACGCAGTCCTTTTCATTTCATTTATTTATTTATTCGCTTTCCCACAGCACCAGGGTGGCATTACAGTGGGGGGAAATCGTACATTAATGTGATACATTGAAGCAATACAAAGGAGCATAACAGAACGCGGACATGCATAACGCCTAACGAAGAACAGCTGGAGTTCAATTACCAGCGGGTGTCGTCCAAGCGCGCCGAAGGCTCGGGAGGTTCGGGCGGTGCGCCGTCGTCGTTGTCGGCAGCCGTCCTCCGCGGCGTGTCTTCGAATGACCGAAGACCCAGCTGCTCGCTGCGGTCAAGAAGCTGACGCTTCAACTCGGGGTCCATTTTGCGCGAGGACACAGAAGTAAAGTGCAGAAGCTACAAAAGGCTGTGGACAGTAGTACGCACACAAGACGCACCGGAAATCGGGACGCTGCGTACGTTCAACTCCGCAGCCAAGCCAATCCAACAGCAAATCCAAGAGCGAGGGGCGGGGCGATCTTCTTCTCCGGGGGCGGCGAAAGAGCGGAAGTTTCAAATGTGGAGAGTTGTGACTCTGACTAAATTACGTCCTGTGACGCAAATATTGTAAAAAAAAAAATTTTCTTTCGCGGGATATTTGTTTTGGGACGTACTTGTCCCAACTAGGCTGTTTAAAAAAAAAAAAACTTTTTTTTTTTTGCAGTTACCCTTTAAGAGGGAAGTGCGCTTGACTGCAGCAAAGACGTGTGTGATTTTTGTTATGTTTTGATGGAGATCTACCATGATCAAGAAAACCAGCAGGTCGAGGCTCAGCCGAACTGCTGCTTTCCCACGGTGCTTCCGTGTGCACGAGGAGAAGCAGAATTTCCAGGAGTTCATATAGATATTTATGCACATGTTTTATAAAAGTTTTGAGTTTTTATATGGCATCAATTATTTACTTAGATATTTCAAACTTGTCTCTCACAAGATTATCATTAATCATCGCACTTTGACGTTCTTCACAAATTACATCACCACTTGGGCAAAGACAGCATCTGCTTTCATGCAGTCCTGTATGTGTTGGCAACATTTCTTGCCAGCTACATATAGGCTGTTACAAATTTGGGCTGAGGCACCCAATATTACAAGCGCTCAAAACACATGCGTTGCGAAACAATTGCTAGAAATATAGGTCAGGCAGGAGAATGTGATATGTGTGAAACATTGAACGGTATGTGAGCTGTGTACGTTCAGGTCCTGTAGCAGCTGCAATTCTTTCTTGTGTTTTTTTTTCTGACATTTTATATTTGACATTGTATTCTGTAGTTTATAAAGTTAATGATTGCCAAAAAACAAATCGGAGGCAGCACCCTGAGGCCCGTGACCTAAAAATTCACTGCTAAGAAGATAGAGCAGAATGCTCTTCGATACTAAGGCAATGAAATGTATTTGTGTGATATGGCAGAATACAATACATATTTCCTTCATATGGCTAAGCTGAAAACTTCAGTTGTATTTTATACCTTTGGGACAGCAGCTTCAACCTCTGTGCAGTCGAGGATGATTCTGCAGTTGGTGATGCTGGCAAAACATGACGGGAGACAGGCCTTGTTCTTGTTCACCGAAGGAATCTGGCCTATCAGCCCATCGCAAAGCACATTGCGTAATATGTTGACCCATGTGAGCACCACATTTGAGACTGTGGCAGTGCTGCAGCTGAATCGAACAGCAAGGTCAAGGTGGGTGGTGTTCGAGCGCAGCTTGACGAGAGTCATGAATAGCTGGTCAGCCAGCTCAATGGACTGCACCTGCCATCCCGCACGGTAGCTTATGGTGAACCTCTGGCACAGCTCTAGCAAGAGATAAAACATATCTTTGTGTGGCAGCCCCTTGTAGAGAACGACCAGGTTGGTTTTCTCCTCAATTGAACTGAAGGTGAACCGTCTTTGGTGTTCTTTCCCGGAAGCCTCTTCCTCCTGTAATATAATTTAGTGAACCTAATATATATGATATATCATAGCAAAATATGTACTCAAATTACAGTATGTACGACTTGTAACCCCCCTCTGACCTGAATGGAACGAAAAATGTGTGCTATAACTGATGCTGCCAAATTGTAAGCTTGCTTCTCAGTTTATGTATACTTTAAATGTAGAGTTGCATGCTATAATAATATTCTGTGAATATAGTAGTGCTGACAGTAAATTATGATCGCTGATGATTAGCTTAGTCTATTTTGTGCCCAATATACATGGGTTTCTCTTAAAATCTGGGGAGGAACCTAGACAAGTCATAATCAGCATACAAACCGGGGAAAAGAAAATATTTATCTTAATTAGGCAACTGACTCAAGTTTGAAGTGCATCAAAAGTTAAGATCAAAGCAAACCCTTCTTTGAAGTTTTTCCCAGTTAAGTCTCTTATTTCTAGTTCTCAATCGTTGTTCGCTATACTATATAATCTGCCGTGTTGAAGCAGCTGGGGATATTTGAAGTAATACTAGTAAGATATATTGTGCAAAGGGGGCTGAATCAATCTCCCCCACCCCTGTCACCCCCCCCCCTCCACCCCCTCCCCGCACAACTCCTGATGTCACTGTCTTGGATGTGAAAATATGTGCATGTAGGCATGCTAACTTTAACCTTCAGATGAAAAATCATGGTTATGATTCATATGTTAAAGAGGCATGTTTGATGTGACATCTTTTCAATTAAAGAACATATTAAAAGCAGACATACTCTCTGCAGGAAGTAATTCTCCGCTTCTAGTACAGCTCTTGACGTGGTAGGTTTGTGCGCCTGCTGTGGTGTGTGGGGTTCTGTTCGCTTCCTGCAAATCACAATGTGTGCAAAGCATACACAAAGGTTATATGCTACATCAAACAATATTTGTTAAATATAAAGAGATATAAAAAAATTAATTGTGTGTTATTAACCTTATAATGAAATATAACGCATATTCAGGTCCTCACCTCCGTCCACATTGGGTTTCTGGAAATTGGAAACGAGTTTCCTTATTCCAAGGGAAAATGGTTGGCAATTTGCTTTTTTCCCCATCCTTGAAATGGCAACTGCAAATGCGTGCTTGTTGCCCCGGCTCGCTGTCTGCTCTCCTAAAAAAATAATAATAGTCAATCAACGTTTTATTGTACCCATGAACAACCTTGCAGTTGTTCCTCAATAAAATAATAATAATAATATATAGTTAAATAAAACACTCAATTAAAAGAATATAAAAACAAAGGTGAACAAGGAGAACGCTATCCACCAGTCTTGTACTAAATATGCTAAATTCAAGAGCTAGTCCGTACAGGGGAACATATGAAGAGCACAATGAAACAACAACAGCAAAGGTAGATATATAAGCATAAACAAAATAACCGGATAGCGCATGGACACAGGCATACTTCTTAACGCTGCTTTACCATAGCAATGTAAGACTACTGCAGGTTTCAGCTGGATTTTACTCTCACTACTACTTGCATGCAACTACTTTATCAATGTTCTAGTAATAATATATAAATATAGCGCCATATTTTAAGACATTATGACCGAACAGAATACGGGTTTTACGTGCTCTCGGTTGGTTCGGTTCTTTTTTTTTACACCAAGGCGACTGTCCGCCAGTGCTACATGTACTCACCTTATGTTTTTTATCCAGTAGTTTCGCGTTTTGGGGTCTTGCGGAAATCTAAAGAAACTACAAGAATCTTTCTCCACGCGATGGTTACAACCAGGTACGAAGCACCCTCCCATAGCGCGAGTCCGCAAACAAAATTTGGGAAGTCAACCGATCGCCTGAAGTGCTTTTCTCACGGGTGCAAATGTGATCTTTGAGCAGACGATCATCTCGATCGACGCCAGGACTTTCGAAAAACCATATTTTGCATCTTATCCCACTATGAATTCTTGTAAGTGTCTGAAACTCATTATATTTCAAACAAATGCAATATCAGAATATCGTCTTTATTCACACGATTCAAACGACGGCGCCGGCTTGGCCGGCCGGCGTGTGGCAGACGGCATACTTCTTGCATTCGTCGTCTGCTGCAGGCATCTTAAGGACCGGAAGTTGCAGTCGTAAATATTTCAGAAAGAAGCGATTACCGGCACACTTCTGTCGAAACATATATGACATTCAAGCTTTGTATATATGTGATTTTTAGAAGTTTGAATCCTACTCCTGATTTTTGAACGCTCAAGTTTTCGCAGCGAAACCGAGCCACATGCATCTGTCCATAACAACGACCCTAGCAACGATTTGTTTGGACCCATGACGTCACACTTACGGAGTCAATACCGCGGTACCGCGGCCTGGCGTAGTTGCCAGATCTTGCCGGAACTCGAGACGCTGCGTCGTTCAACTCCGCAACGCAAGGAGAGTGAGGGGCGGGGCGTACTCCTCTTCCGCGGGGGTCGAAAGAGCGGGAGTTTCAAATGTGGAGAGGTTCTGACTGTACTAAATTACATCCTGTGGCGTAAATATTGATAAAAAAAATCATTTTTTTCGCGGAACATTTGTTTTGTGACATGCTTGTCCCAATTAGGCTGTTTAAAAAAAAACTTTTTTTCTTTGCAGTTACCCTTTAAGAGGCACCTGTCACCGACCATGAGGTAGGACACTTAGAAAATTTCAAAAGATTTAGTGAGATAGGGTTTATTTTCATAAATCTTTCAAGTTTTACATTGCACTCAGTAGAAGCTTTGAGTTACAAAGACTAAAATCAATGACTAGCTCAGCTAACTTAATTAAAGTAAACTGTGATAAATCGCAAAAAAAAAGCTACAGCATCAGGACCTGATATATACCGCAGAAACACTTGCAGATTCTCAAAAAAACATACTGAACTTCACAGTAAGTATAATGAATGGCAACAAACAAGCTTAAGATAGCAGCAGAAACATGTAGTTTGAAAGTACTTCTGAACTAAATGAAATTGACTAGATATAGGAATACGTCAGTTACAAACAGATCATTCTTGCATCCGTGGGGCAGCTGCAAGGGGAAAAAAAGTAATTACACAAAAGAAAATTGTAATAAAAATATTTGGCTCCAATTCATAGACAGTATTGACGTTTACCAGGAATAGGTGTGGCATCTACTCGCTTAGTGCTATATACACAGATATTAGATTGTGAAATGGTTGTAAATAACCTCAATGAAGAAAAACACAAGAGTTCTTGCCACTGATGTTATCATATCTGTTGCTGCCAAAAGTTATCATAAAACAAATATATGTCACATTAATGAATAGGGAAAGAGGAGCATTGACATAAAACTAGATGGCACACAGACCCTTATCGCCATGTTTGCGTCAGGAAAGAGTGTAGTGTCACACCTGTCCCTACACCAAGTGTCATTCTTAGCAGTAGTTCACTTCCAGAAGTCAGTAACTTATATTTGGAAACCTCAATGGAGAC